TCTGTCGGTGATGATCAGTGTCGTTTTCCGGCCGATCGTCAGGTACGAGTGATTCTAAAAGATATTTTGCTGTTTCTTCTACTTCTGTGGTATATCTGTTATTAATTTTGATGTTCTGTATGTATGCAAGGTCGATTGATCTATTTGCCTTAAATTCGTGATACAAAGGTGACCACGGGCCCTCTCTATCGAGTCTATCGACAAGTTTCTGAATTAAGTTTCCCTTCGATTTTTCCACTGCAGCTCTGTAGTGGGACCTGGCAACTCTAAGAGCAATGAGAGCATTATTGTACAAATCTCCTGTTACGTTGTGTTTTTTAAAATTGTTTAATTTTCTACGAGCTTTCCGGTAGCTTCTACGTAGTTCGACTAATCTATCATTCCACCAATCACATCTACGAGTGTTAGTGATAGATACGCGACCAATAGATACATCAGCGCAGTATGTGAAAGTTTCTGATAGTATTTCTGCGCTTTCCTCAGCTGATAAACTACTGCGACTGAAATCTTTGGTATGAGTTGCAAATAGTGAACCAAACAAAGCCCAGTTCGCACCTTTAGTTTTATATCTAAAATTAAAAGGAGCCCTTTGTGGATCCCGTGCAAGCCTTGGTATGAATTCGTACACGATCAAGCGATGATCACTACAGGATGCGTCCGGGAGGACACGCCATCCGGATATCGAGACGTCGCCGCGCGTAAGCGTCACGTCAATAGAAGACTCACCCATTGAGTTGCAAAAAGTTGGTGGTGCATCGGGGGTATTGTGAATAGTAAGATTCATTTCCGCAATGAAATCTTCAACCGCACAAAGTCGAACCGTGTCGGTTGAACGCAACTTGCCATACCATAATGAAGATGACGCATTGACATCAGCGCCAATGATAATTTTATGTCCCACGAGGTACTGCAAGACGTAACGTAAGTGATGTAAGTGAGGATCAATAGGATGTGAATATTGGAAATAGCAGCTCACTACGTAAACCTTACAGGTAGAGGATGAGATCTCAGCAACGGCGCAGTGTGACGTCATAAGATTACGCAAAGATGTTACCGTAAAATTAGAACTTGCAACATATATCCCAGCCTGCGAACGGCAGTCAAGCTGTACTACATTACGACGCAAGCGAGCGCTCTGATATTGTTCTTGTAAAAGGACAATGTCTAACTTTTGTTCTAAAATTAAACGGTCTAATTCTAATGTGGCTATTTTATCGTTATGAAGATTTAACTGGCCTATCGAAATATTATCCATTACTTAGTAAGTTACTCTATAAAACTTTTTTTTTTTTTTTTTTTTTTTAAGCTGTATTAAACTATTCAGTAATTGGTATTTAATATTAGCTGCTCCAGTTTTAATTTGTATGTGGCACAGTCGTGTGAGCCGCATCGATGGTCAGATGGTTTTTTGAACCGCCTGCACTGTGCACACGTGGGCTTAAAATTTGGTGTGTCTTTATCTGGGCAAACTCGCGTTTCGTGTGCGGCGGCGCAATTAGCACAAGTAGGGGTTTTAATGGTGCAAAACTTTTGTACATGACCGAATTGCTGACAATTTAAGCAACGAACTACTTCTATATCGTCTATGAATCGACAAGTGGCCCAGTCTATATAAAGTTTATCTTTTGTGTTGGCTAGATGTTTCCGAACTGCTGCCTCCAATTCTAAGCCTATCCATTGACGCCCATTTTCTAGTTTACGATGCCTAACAATTTTGGTTGACTTAATAAAATCGTTCTCACTTAATTTTAATTCGTCCTTGATATTCTGACGGTATAAAGCTGTTAGGAAGGCACGATCTTCCATAGAACCGGGTACGTCTTTTACAATTATACGGGGCTTTCGGCCTTTCGGTTTTTCTAATCGTAAACCTGCTGATTTAATGGCGTCTACAGATTCCAGTTTCTTAAGCTGCCGTTCGTTAGCTACACGTAACACGACGCCTGCCTTAGAGGTTTTTTTAACGCCTACAATTTGGAAACCCTCATCGCTCGGTTTAATAGCGTTCATAAGAGCTTGTTTCGTTGCTGACGAGGTCGCATAGTCCGCTAAGCGTTCCGTAGTGGGATAGGCAATAACACAAGGCCTAGGAACGCGCGCTTCAGTAGGTACCGGGCACGGGGCAGATTTAGGTGGTAAGCGAAGCTTAAGTTTGTCCGCGTACGTTAAACTCGTTTGTTGAGTTGCGATACCCTCCATTTGTCGCTCAAAATTCGCTAACTTCGCTTCGTTGCTAAAGGATTTTATTGCTAACATTGATACGATACCGATAATTCGTTGAGTAATATCCATAATCGCCGTTTTATTCCCTACATTCATCCGAGATCCCTGATCATTAACTAATTCATTAATTTTTGATAAGTAATCGGTGGCCTGTGACACTAAGTCACAGTAATTGTACTCTCCACAGTTATCACGACCGGTAGGAGACGAAACATTTCCACTTAAGTCCGAATTAATAATGCGTCTACGGCTTCCGTCTTTCGGCGTGAAATCCGCAGGTGACACTTCGCCAAATGTCCTTTTGCCGGTTGGTGTTAGAAATTCACTTGTACCGCCGGGATCCGGCAACTCGCTAACGACGGACATAGCCAAACAAAGACACACCAATCAACAATTTAAAAAAGAAAAAAAAAAACAAGCTTAAAAATAAACAATACGCAGAGAAAAATCAATTTAAACAAAGGATACCGCCTACCCACTTTTAGTAAGATAATAAATTTACTCACCAATAGTCGTAATAAAAGAATTCGGCACTATATTTATGTTTAGAAAACAATAAAACTTACTGAAATTCTTTAGAAACACTATACACAACCTTTAGCCGCCCGCAAACCGGAAACTAGTCACATAAAAGCACAGAAAACAATATTAAAATTGTTAGCATACGAAGTCACACGTTAGTCGCACGGTGCCGCGAAGGGAAGGATGGCCTATGGCTTGTCAAAACTGGTATCACTGCCCACGCGAGGTCCAGTTGTAGAAAGTCATGAGCCTTCACTGTTGGACCTTCTGCTCACCTCTGATCCGAACAGTTACAAGGTTACCGTTGGGGCCCTCCTTGGCTCCTCGGATCATTGCCTAATCTAGAGTGCGGTGCCACTCATGTGCTCGAGTTGCAGGCTGCCGCCACGTATGGAACTACTACTTTCTTTTACTCTTACCTACCCATGGAGGCGGGTTTGTTTCTTGCCGAATGATCCCAAAGTCGTTGCCGATTCTGTCACTGACGTAGTACTTCGGGGTATGGAACTATTCGTTCCAGCTACCTTCATTCCCATCGTGAGCAGATCCAAGCCTTGGTTCGACAGATCCTGCAAAACAGCGTCCTGCCAAAAGCAAGAATGTTACCAAGCATGTTCTAATGCAGTGACGGTAGTTGATGTAAACACCAGCAGATAAAAGAGCAAAAACGACTTTGCCTCCAGGTCGCTCAAAAGAGCCAGGTCAAAATCGGAGCAAATAAGCCTGATTGGTCAGAGACTGGTGAGACTTCCTTCTGGAACTCGTGCATTCTAGTCTCTTGACAAGGCTGTCCAGGGGAATGTCTGTAGCCAATCCCTTCCGTCCCTGCAGATAGGCGCTAATTTGTTGGCCTATGATGCCAATGAGAAAGCCGATCTCCTGGGCGAACTTTTTGAATCCAACTAGACTTTAGATGACGGGGAGACGTACCGCCGACCATACCACGGTGCCATAACTGTACGCCGGAAATCCGGTTTACCCAGAAGTCAGTGCGTAAAGCTATCTTTGCTGTCGATATTCATAAGTCGAGTGGCCCCGATGAAATCTCCCCTAACGTGTTGAAGACATGTGTTACGTAGTTTAATTTTTCTACTCCTACTCCCTAGGCGTCGTACAAACTCCTGGAACTGGCGTTTGTGCAACCGATCCCTAAAAAAGGTGACCACGCTGATCTGTCCAACTACAAGCCACCCAAAACCCCATGTTCTCTAAGATTATGGAATTATTTTCGTTTCATCGTCCAGTCAAGTATGCTGGTTGAACGGCATCAACGTGCGAGTGCGCGGATGTGTCCAAAACACTGTATTTCACGTATTGCACTGTATTGTAACGCGAAGCTAGTTTAAGCAAAACACTGTAAGCATTGTTACAATTTTTATCATGTTAAAACCTTAATTTCAATACAATGTAATTCAAATACAATTCTTCTAAAATACACTTTAAAATAACAAAAGTATTGATCAGGGGTACTAAAACAACGTATAGATTGAGCGTGACCTGATTGAGCGTTGTTGAAGCAAAACACTGTAAGTCGAATTACAGTCTTTTGAATTCGCACGGCAGAGCTGCTGTTGTAGCAAATAAATTTTTGTGTACACTCACTAGACATAGTCTTCGAGCGTATCAGAGAAGTCAAGCAAAGAAGTTGGTTATCTCTAAATACTGTCATATATATTGTCATTTTAGATAAATTATACCCAGACACAAAACAAAAATAATCGTGCTCATCACACAATCATTGTCCTGGGTGGGAATGGAACCCACGACCTCCGAGTATAACCGACTTCAATGCGCCTACGTCTTTGTGAACTGATGCCCAAGTGTAAGTTTCTTTCACTTCTACTCGATCGTCACGGTGACTGCGTCCGGCGTCGTGTTTGGTGAAGTTTAATTCGGGCCAACCACAACGCCAGACACGGTCACCGTGACGCTCGAGTAGAAGTGAAATAAAGTTACACCAGGCCCTCTCGTCTGTTTATGGTATAGGTGGCAAATGAGCAGACGGGTCAACTAATGGTAACTCAGGAATCACAAGTGCGCCTTGCCGGCCTTTGAGAGCCCGACAGTTAGGCTGAATTGCTTAATCAGAATTATGATTTATATCCTTTACATTTGAGAATGCTAACCATAAATTTATTGCATTGTTTTCCGGATAGATAATGGATAGGATAAGATAACAGAATCCGACAAAAGAATTAAAATTCCATCGTTTGCACACCCAAGCTTCAAATTAATATTTTTTATTTTTGTTCTAGAAATATTCTCGCCAAAAATGGGTCGGCAGTGGACGCAGCTATTGCAGCAATGTTGTGTAATGGTTTGTTCAACCAGCAAAGCATGGGGATTGGTGGAGGATTCTTCATGACGATCTACATCAAAGACGAGGGGAAAGCTTACGCTGTCAATGCAAGAGAACAAGCTCCGGGTGCAGCAACAGTCAACATGTTCAAAGGCGATTATTCGAAGTCACACACTGGTGAGTTAAACTTTTTTTTTATTATATAGTAGCAAACGAACGAGCATGTAACCTGATAGTGACTACCGCTCTTCATATACACCTTTTTTATGCGGGGAATGCTTTTCGCACCATACCCTCCGTTGGGGAAACGGAGGACGTATGTAGGACTCCCGGAGAACCGGTCTACCCACTAAACCCCGCGGAGGCTTAACTCGGCAGTCGGGAGGAGCTCCAGGAATGCATCGGCGGCTTCTGGATTCCTCCTTGCCTTGTACCCCATGACTGAGTCACATCACCGGGTGACCATGCTCATAGACACCTGCAACTCAGGAGATACAAGTCATTGCTACCCTTTGACGCTCACGCTCAGAGTTAAGAGGGAAGGGAGATTAGGCGCCAGTAACTTCATTCAAACCTCCTTTATAAGGAGAGGCCTATGCAGCAGTGGACTAGTAAAGGCTGTTAATGAACCTTAAATTCTTATTACCTTATTACTACCTTATTCGTTAAAAGCAAGCAAAGAATTGCTCACCGGTTTTCTGTGAGGAAGTTGTACAACTCGTCACATATGTGTTGAAACATGGTTCTTGCACTGCCACCTTTGATTATTCTAACAAAAGTAGCTAAAAACTGTTTTGGGATAGTAAAATAACTTATTCAGAAAAGAAATTACTATTATTAAGTAAAATTATTATAAGTAATAGGCGGTCGCGCTGTCATGTGACGTCACAAGGCATCGGCAGTTATCGATTGATTTAACTTTGTCATGAATAACAGATTAAACTTACGTCGATAAATGATGTCATTGTATTTAGTTATTTTGTTAGTTCCTGGTCACATAATATAACAAAAATATTAGTTTTTCTACACTAAACTTTTTAAAACCTTTATGTATTTACCAAAGCCTTAAATAAATACTTAAAATTGTTGTTCTTTTTCACACTATCAAGTAGTCAAAGCAAAGTTTCTGGCTCTTTTTCAACCTGAGTTACAAGAAGTTTCATCCTGAATCATCATATAGTTTTTAATCTGATTGTTTAAATTTCCTTAACTTTTATTTAAAAAATTTACACAACATAAATTTGTTCTTACAACAAAGCATCTACTACTGAAACATATAGTACAGATGCACCTTCACTTTTCACTTTACAGATAAAAACTGATTAAAATCCTAGTAAACAAGAAGACACTGACAGTTGCCAACTTAACTTTGTCGAACTTAAAATTTTAACCTTGCCTTGTATCTACATTCTTCAAATCTATAAAATTTTAGACAACACCCAGAGTTCTATAGAGAAAGAGAGGACATACAAACCAAAATGACACTTAGACACAACTTATTCTCCCAGCTTCCCGACTCAAACTGCACTCATACAGCCCATTTGTAATATTCCTAAAAATATAAAATAAAACAGTTTTACAAATAAATTAAAACTCTTTCTATTAAAGAAAAGATACAGCAGTATAAAAAATATTTAGAAGATAGATAATATTCATTTATTTAAATTATTTATTTCCATTAAAAACCACTATCATTAGCCCGAGGCGATAATTTTATACCATTTACTTATTAATATACACTTGTTACTACTTAAATTGTTTTCACCTATGTATTATATTGTGGAAGCAATAAAGTATTCGTAGTACATGAAAACATAGGGCAAAGTAACCCATACCTGGTTCCCCGGCTATTAGTACCCGAGACGGCGTGCGGTTTTAGTCGGTTCGAGTCCGACATGCCACCGACAGGTGGTATCCGAGGGGATTTCCGCACGGAAAAAAAAAAGGGCAAACTAACCCGTTAACGAATAAATCGATTGTTGATTTAAAAAGTGGTCTAAATTGGACCCTAATTAAAACTTAACTTTAAACCTATTTTTACCATAAAATAAATTAAGCTACTCGCACTCCTAACCAACATGTAGTAGAAAGACACAGTAGACACAGTAATGATAGTGAAAAAATAATAAATTAAAATAATAAAATTTCAAACAAAAACACAGCCAAATATATAAAAGCATTAATTCATCCGACTATATTTTTAACATCTACGATTTGAAACGGGTCCACGTATATACATATTTATGAAATACATCAGCTTGTTTTCCTAAACATATACAAACAAAAACATTTATTATTGTTTACCTATCTTATCAAAATCCTTGGAATAAGATACTTTAAATACTCTTACATAGATTACATACATAGAAAATCGTGAGTTACGTGACTTATAAACGTAAACACAACAGATAAAATAAATTATCATTATTTTTTGTCTGTGTGATAGATGTGTAACTGATTAAGATTGTTTAAACAGGAAATAATAATTTTACATAAGATCGAGTACATAACGCAACTTGTAAAGAAATAATTGAGTGAGAAATAACGACAGAATGGCGGATCTGGAAAGCAGACGTTCCGATGTTCATCGGCTCCCAGGAGTAAGATTGACTTCTGGGAGCCCTACCGAGATAGGCGTCTCAGGCACAAGTTCCTTCTTGTTGGACGAGAAGTCGTCTACCTTCCTAGGCTTCTTCTTTTTAAACTTCTCAACGGAGGAGTCCGCAAGTGCCCCTGGGAGTACGCTTGCGACTGAACTACTCATCAGCCATGCATCCCCTGGCCACGCACCAGAACACGGGATTCGCCGTAATTTTTTAAAGAGGTTTTCTTCTTCGCAGTCCGGGCGACTAAGCCAAGACCCTCGCTCCCGATTAGAGTCGGGAGACATAACGACGACGACACTCCTACTGGGATTACGATGTGCAAACGGTGGCAAGAGGACACAGGCCCCATTGCCTACTTGGTGGCAGTGTAAGTGCTCACCGAGCCTGTCGTCGTTCCTCCACTTTCGACAGTGGAGCAACTATCGGTGACCCAGGAAGGGCCCCAACGACTATCCTTCTTAGTCTGGAGTCTCTGAGCCATCTGGCATGAGTAACTCTATCGGCATAGCCTCAGAAATCACTGACCCGCGCAAGCCTCCCTCACGATGACAACGTGAGGATACAGTTCGGGGGGACAATTATTTTTTCCTTGGTGAGAATCGAACCCACGACTTTCGCTTAACAGTCACCAACCAGTAGACTAACAGGCCTGTCAGTGTATGTATTAGTTGTGACGTTATCTATTTATGAGATAGCCTTCAGGTGTCATTAATAATAATCCTATTATATCTTATATGAGTCATAAAATGTTTACTATAACGCTATTGAATTATGGCATTACTCTTTTATTTTCTAGAAAATTCTTCATAGTTATTATGAACGGTTATTGCGGTACTGCACTACCGTTACGCATCACGAATACACAAGTGCTCGTAAAAGTATAATGGTACGAAGTGTACTTGTTATACGAATTTCATTCTTGAAAACTATTGTGTACTTCTCACATAGATTCTTTTAAGTAAACTGAAATTTAGCTTTTTACTTTTTTATGCAATTCAGCAAAGTATCATACATAATATGATTTAAGCATCTCGTCAAAAGGCACACAAAACCTGTCTGTTAATTTGCATTATTTTCATCTTCACAACCTAAAACGCTACATTACATTCATTGCCAATCTGGATTACGATTAAGCTATGAAAGATTGTTGTGACAGATTTTACTCACCGCCTCTGAATAACACTTATTTTTAGTTTTAATGAAGCACCAGGGAGCTGCCAATCTATTGGTTATTGGATACACCTCTAAAAATTATCATCACATCACATCATCAGCGTTCAAAAGTACACTGCTGGGCATAGGCTTCTCTTTAGAAAGGAGGTTTTGGACTACTATGCCACGCTAGCCAGACGGGTTGATATAGGATTTGTTTCAAGTTTACCTTCTCTTTGCAGTGTTGTTGTCCTACGCAATTTGCTCCTTCAGTCGACTCTTACGACACCCATGGAATTAATGGGGGTGGTGACGCTCCGTATTCTAAATCCTTCAATACACGGACAAAAATTATGCGGACATTGAGTTAAAACTATATCAATGTATGAGTTGAAAATAATCAGTATATTCCCCCTGATGAGAAGGATTTGGGAATGAATAATAGCCCTAAAAGCCAATTGCCAATTGTACTTAAGCACTCCTAGAACTAGAACATTTAACGGACATTAAATAATAGTTCAGATAGCAAAGTGAGGTTCTAGCCAGACACCATAGACTGAGTAGAATGGAATAAACTTTATTGCACACCATATTTTTTTTAACAATAACCCTAAGACCGAATATGTACAAAATGCAGCCCTATCGCAGTCTAACAGACAACCTTTAGGAAAGACTATAAACAGAGGCGTTTATGGGTGGTTTTGGTATGATAAAGTAATTCCGACAATATCTGTTATATTTCCAACTTGAATACATACATTTCGAAAGCAGAATAACCTGTTGTAATGTTATTGTAAATATTTGTGAAACAGATGTTTAAGTCGCGTAGCCCTTGTTCTAGAAAAGGTCAAATAAGTCAACGTAATCAAGACAAAGTAAAACTTGCAATATACTTAATGACAATATCTACTAATTACTACTGAAAGGCTGTTCGTAGGTATCTCGTTCTAGTTTAATATAAGTATATTCATTCCTCACAGCTGTACAAGCAAATGTTTAATACTTGACAAATGTAAAATAAGAACTAAGTACTCATTCTAGGGTATTCTTTTCTATTATAGTAAAGTTTGAATGATTAATGAAAATGATAAATTACTCTGGTGTTACTGTACTGATTAACTTTTAAAAATGTATCACCAACTTTAATGTGCCTATGCAAATTTTTCCCTGTACTTGTAGTATAAGATGATGTTCCTTGCTTAATTTCATAGTTCTAAGTCAACGGGCAGGTCTATTAATCTTAATTCTCTTGAGTTTGGAAATATGCGTTTTTGCGGCACAAACGGGCATTTTTTGTTTTTTACGTTAACTAAGAATTTTTTTTTCAGCTTTAAGGGGCTGTATATGGTATAGTATATGGTTTTAATTTCAACTCGTCATCTCCACATCATCATCATCATCATCAATCATTTAATAGTCCACTGCTGGACATAGGCCTCTCCTTAGAAAGGAGGTTTTGGCCTACTATAACACGGTGGCCAGACGGGTTGGTATAGGGTTTGTGTCAAGTTTTCCTTCTCTTGCAGTGTTATTGTCCTGCGTAGTTTACTCCCTTAGTCGGCTCTTACGACACCCACAGGATGAATAGGGGTGGGATGGACAGACCGACAACAAAGTGAAACCCTTTAAAATTGAATGGGATGGAAAGGAGCGAAAGCAGTGTAAGACGATATACATTCCTATGTATATCGTGTGTGTGTGTATGGATAATATGTATACTACATATTATCCATACGATAATATCTATAAAATAAAATCGATATTATCAGTTTTGGCACGGTTAGGTTACAAAGTAATTTAAACCACTGATCGATCGATATTTCGAAATGATGCTTTTAGCCTTTTACGAGTATGTTGACAGGTATAATCAAAGTTCTTTGCAAAGATTACAAATAGCCTAAAAAAGGTTCGTTGTCTTATACTTAATCAATCAAGCAAAATATCGATGTTATCAATATACATGTTCAAAAGTATCAATTTGATAACAGATAATTCCTAATTCCTAACTGAATTTTAAGCAAATGATAAAATTATTTTTAGTATAAAAATCAAGTGTTTGGGTGTTTATATTTATGTTTATAGATGTAACTCCTCCCTCGTGAACTGCTCTTGAATGTCTTATTATGCAATTTTAAAACATTAGTTACATATAAGCTGTTAATACGTCAGAGCATTGCAAATTTCTCGAAGGCTTTCTCTTCAATCTGGTCCAATGTTGTAGTGAGACATAACGCCTCGGTTCACAATTTCACTTGCTGTATATATGTACGAGTATATATATACATGTTTGGTCTGCGTGTAAATGGATATGAGTTTAATTACGCTGAGTACAAACTGGAACATATGTAAATGAACTTTATTTTGTCGATATGACTTCTTTGCCTTGTTGCTACATGCGACAAATTGATATTATATGTTCACAAGAAAAACTATCAAAATATCTTTACTTCGTAATTAATCAATCAATAAATTGATTGGACGGGTGGCGTAGTTTTTGAAGCGATCGCCTTGCCACTTCCTGCTGCGCTGAGTGTTATGGGTTCGATTCCCACATAGAACAACACTGTATGATACACAAGTTGTTGTTCAGTGTCTGAGTATTCTTTGTGTTCGTTTGAATGAATGTTTGATAGGTCCCCCACGACACAGGATATATTCCTAGTGCGGAATTTGCATAAAAAAATAACCTAAAATACTCTGGAAAGCTTAAATTAATACGTCACATTTTTAATCGTTGCAATTTTAGGTGTAATAAATAATATATATTTTAATTATTGTATACGAACATAAACAATCCAATACTCTCCGTTAAAAAGAATTTTAGATACATTTTTTTAAATGCGAGAACATTGTTTCCTAGGTTTATTTATAAAAAAAACTAAGTGGCCTTACTGGGCTTAGTGGCTTTAATAGAGACAAGCAATAATGAATATATAGTGCACTCAGGGTCAGAGCCACTAACCGTGACTAACACACGTGTTTGTTCCATATTAGGGCCTTCCCTTTAACAGTCCATACAATAGCAGCAGTCTAATAGAGCATACTTAATTCTATTCGATCAGTCTGGAAGGCAACTTCAAAATATAGCCTAAATACAATCTGCAATATTTAAGAAGAAAAAGTTCTTAAAGATGTAGTTTAAGTCGTTGTTTCGCTTTTAAGTTTGGAATTTTATTTTGAAATTTAAATGCGACTAACTGAAAATTGCTTTATTAACGGTAATAATATCGCGTAATATGAATACAACTAAAGGGCGGATCCAGAGAGGGGTCATGGATGTCATACGGGTCACGGCTTCTCCCTAATCTTGATCTAGTTCGTACGATTTTGAGTTATCAAATTGGAGCTTATCACCAGTCCTGACTACACATACATTATTCGTCCATTCTGAGTTGAAAGTTAGATCTGCCCCTAATATAACTAAAAACTAAAATAATGTTGTCTTGAATGGATGACTTAAAATAATAATTAAAATAAGTTTGAGTCCTCAATCAATCTTCTGATGAATAATACAAAGTCTCTATCCATCTATATTTATTTAATGATACTAAAGATTCGTTTGTTGGGTTGTTTGTATAGTTTCTTTTTTTAACGAAGTTCTTAAATCAAATTTATTTTTTCAATTTCTTCTACAATGTTGCCTTAGAAAAAAACTATGTATAGCCGTTTAATGCCCTATTAGTTGTGACAGACCGGTACCTTAGGCAGTTTTAAGGCAACCTATGTTATACATATCACCAATCTCTGGAACCATGAATCAGGTCTGATGATTCTTTTTATATTGGTAGAGAGTATATAGTGAAGAATAGGTAATATAGGCTATGAAACATCACGCTTAGAAGCAAAGCTATCTCCATAAACGCTCATGAAACTGCGAGTAGCGACTAGTGACGTAACTACGAATATTTATCTTTTACCTCTTATGCTCGTTTTCACCAACTATAACTATCGACAAAGTCACAGTGCTCCACACCAACTGTTGTGTTTCTTTGGGTGAAATCAATGTCCCGAAGCCCTTTGAGTATTTCCATCTCTCCTTCAAAACCAGTAGGTACACTCTGTGAACCATACACTTCAGAAAAGCCTTTGTCTGGCCGCTGGCGGTTAGTTACGTGCTACTCCTCTTCACCCTTCCTTCTTTTCTTATTCCGTTTAGGCAAACCTGTGTCTGTGTATACCTTCTTAGTAAAACATAACGTAGCTTCCGTCCAAACTTAATATAACTACAAAGTCTTACAAAAAAACGAAAATAATAATTGTATCACTTACCTGTTACCAGGATATTCCAATATTTGTTTAATTTTATTTAATAAAAAGATAACATCCCTTGGTTAACCTAAATCTTGTAACAAAATCTTTGTTTTCATATTTTGTAAATAAATCCGATCCCTCATAATAAATTCTAGTTCTATTGAATAACCTAGGATTATTTATCATCTCTAAAATCTTAACAGTATTGAAAAAATCCTATAAATCGTCCATTTCAATTAATTTTTAAACAAAAGTTGCGTCAAGTTGTTCTGTCACTTTGTTATGGGTTAAGTTAAGTTAAGAGACACCTAAACACTTAGATGTTCTCTAAAGGTTGGTGAAAACGAAAATATCACTAAGGGTTACCTGAAAATTTTGAAAATTTTATGAAATAAAGATATTTTGAATTGAATTAATCTTTGTAACACTTTTAAATCACTTATAAATAAAATACTATTCCCTTTTTTATTCACTTTAAGAAGGCTGTTTATTTAAGTGCGTTAATACTGAGGTGTGTTTCCTCGTTGCACAGGAGTACTCTCCGTGGGAATACCAGGCGAACTACGAGGGATGTGGACAGCCTATAAGCGATGGGGAAAGTTGCCCTGGGAGAGCCTTGTCACACCTACCGTAGAAATATGCAGGGCTGGATTCCAGTTAAGCAAGGTCAATTATGATGGAATCTTGGCAGCGCCGGGAATAAAAAATGATCCACATTTCAGGTTTGTACTTCTACCTTTATATTAGAAGACTGATAGGCCTGAAGCCCTTTTCACCAACAACAGTTACAGCTGAACTTCTATTTTTCACGTGTAGCGACTGCCATCAGACCTTCACAGGCACTAGGCGATATCGAAGTTCTGTAGAAAGACTGAATATTGTCGGACTTTTGAAGGCTTCAAATACCACAGATGTTGCTTTCTGAGGCACGATCTTAATGAGTTAAGATCCACAGACTGACCTGGCTGCGATTGCTCAACTTTGCAATGTGTAAACCTATTCGGTTATCACTTAGCCACAAGCCCCTATCCCCTCACGGGCTTATCATGATCTAATTGTAGTTGTTGAAATGAAAGATTTAGCTATTTTATTTTGATGAATTAATTATTAATTCATTTCATAATAAACTTTCTAAATATTTTCTAAAATCGTAAACAGAGATAGTTAATAGTGGTAAACCTTATCAATATTGTAATCAGGCTCGGGATAGTTATTATCGTAACATATTACACAACACCCAATAAATTCGGTCAATAATTTTATGTATAGTGGTCACGTGGCTTGGTGATATCTTTAGTTGTTCCCGTGTTGAACGCGTACAACATACCTACCTACATATTTCCTTATTGCTATAAAACTGTAAATGAACGACTTCCTATCCGTGTTATTCATGTAAATTGATTACAACATAACTAATTAATTGTTAGAAAATTATGCGGTGGATACTCGTATATAGCCATTACCGACGATTTCATTTATTTTTGGGATTACAATGTAAAGATTAATTTTATATTACATTTGTTAAGGTACGACCATGTACGGCGAATTTACTACTAATGCCATCTAGTATAAAATATTCAGCACTAACTGAGCCTGCACCGCGATATGAAACTAAGAAATGTAAGAACACCAATTACTCACACAAGTGACAACAGACCCTTTCACTTCACTTACAGGAACAGGAACTTTCGTCCTTTAGTAGCAACCTGGTTTGATTGAACCTGGGTTGAGAAATCTGTTTCCTGTATTTGCAATGGATGGAATTCCCTTCCTTATAAATACAGAAATCTTTTTAGTAACAGTAAATGATAAATGTTTTCTACACCAGGCAAATGTACTTCAATTCTGCAAAAGGACAATACCACAAGCCTGGCACCCTCGTGAAACCTCCCGAGGCCATGTGTAACACTTTCCAAAGAATAGCGGAGAAGGGAGGAGATGAGCTTTACAATGGAAGCCTGTCCATCGAGTTCTTAGATGACCTAGAACGGATAGGTAGCATTATTACTGCTGAAGACCTCCAGCGGTATGAGTAAGTATTGCATTTTTTTTCTAAAGTTGTCGGTTAGAGTTATAGTCATGCGACCCTGAGCTGCTTAAGCTATTGTTTTCACTTCCCAATCCATTCGTAATACCCCTGGCCGTTCAAATGTCGTCGCTAGTTCAGATTTTTAGCAAAAGCAAACGAGCAGACGGGTCGCCTAACGGTAAGTGCTCAAACTCAAAAAGTCATAAGTGGATTGTGACCCTTTGTGCCCAAAGAATAAGGGGGGATTTGGAATACAGTAGCCTCACTCACACGATGAAAATCAATGAGAAAATTGCTTAACATCAGATTTCTGTGTGTACCGAACTTGCCGAAGTATGGCTCTCCCATAGACAAAAAAAGGCAGTGGCACTCTGGGAGTGCCGACAGAAGTGAAAACTTATATACTTACAGAGGTGTCGGTAACGGTAACAGTGTCGCGAGTTCAATGGTTTTTTCCCATCTCAAAAAATGTGGTTTTTGTTAAACCATAAAATACATTATTTTGTTTGTTGGTCAAAAATGCTCAACGCGCCTAAAGAACTTTTCGCTTCAAAAATCATTCCGTATTTTAGTTTTGGCTTGTATACTTACGGCTTAGCATCTTACAGATACACCAAAACCTGCTCGTCTATTTGTACATATTTAGTAGAGCTACAAGTGTCGATTTATCTTATATATCGTAGTAAACATGTTTCTAATACTCGCTTGAGAGTACATGTGCAGGTGACAAACACACCGCAGAGAGAGGATTAATTAATATACCTACTATACTATTTTATTCGTTATTATTTCTTTAAATCTACTGCCTTGAAGAAATTCAGTCGGTTTTAACAGTTGACCAACGACCAAAGTTGATCAATAGTCTGCTAATATCTTTTAAGAACAACAATTCGCGTCGTTGGGTTTACCGCAAATAAAAAAAAAAATTAAATTTTGACCATATTTTGACGACAAGCTGTTGCCCGTTGCTGCTAATTTTTATTTTTTGGTAGCAGTTGTTTTTTGGGTTTATGTTATCCCGTGTCCTTTGACTATTACTAATTGACGTATCTTTAGGGTTCTCTTTTTATTCCTCTCATGCAAAGTAATAAATAAAAACAACATTCATCCTTTTGATTCATTTTCTCACAAGGATTATTTAACTAAAGTACCTACCGAATTAATGTTGTAACGTTGTTCGTCGTAAATTAACTTATAATTCAAATATAATGACATATACATATGAAAACTTTAAAATGGCTAATAAATGTAATCTAATATCTACAGCTTTTAATCTTGCCTCTTGATATTACATAACTATTTACGAATACTTTTAGACACGAAAATATGCATCTTTCAATACAAGCAAACGAGTGATATTTTAAAACTGAGTTTTCTAAATAAAGAATGACTATTAATAGTCAACAGAGCCATGTCTATAAGACTAATCCAATTTCTGAATTATTCGCGTCTATTCGGTATCGCACTTCTTCAGATTAGCGTTTCTTTAGATCCTCATTTCTTCAGATTAGCATTTCTTTAAATTCGCATTTCTTCGGCTTCGGATTCTCGAAGTATCACAACTTTCCTGATAGCGAGTAATTGATCGCGTATTGTCAATAAAACAAGTGCTCAGTATGCCCAAAACAATGTTATCTTCAAGTATAAATATTTATTTGTAGATATTACATTATCGCAGACATAAAATACAAAGTAGATATATTATCGTAAGTAGACGTAGGTATTTGAAGCTAGAATGTATTATAAAATGAATAAATTCGCTCTTCATTTTCATTGACTGCACGTATGGCGTAGTCGTTTAAGTTTTAAGTGGTTTAATGTTTAAGTGGTCACCTCAGACGCTTCCTACTGCGCGGTCAATTTGCAACCGCCTGGCTCGACTCAAGTTTTAAATGTTTTGTTGAGTTAAATTGACCAGTATAACTATTATTCTTAGATTATTACAATCTAAGCCGTTATTGTACAAACTTATACTTATTTTTTATACTGGGCCTGCTTTATGAAGCTATTTCTTATATAAATTTTAACACCAAAGCACAAGTTGTTTCAAAGGTTTTAACTCTCTGCACTTCAGATGCACAACTGATGTTTGTAGAAACATAATAACAGGTAACATGGCGCATATGGAATACCCAAATTAATTTGCATGCGTGCGTCATATTTGTTAAAAAAGGGATAGGTAAAAAGAATTTTCTTCACATTGTAATCTATATAGATAAAAATGTTAAGTTAGTTTGTGTACGCTTAAAAAACTCAAAAAATTGTAAACCGATTGAGCAAAATTTTGTCACGATACACATACCGCTTCAAAGATAGTTTTTACCTTCTTATCGCGTCAGTTTTGTTCCCCATTTCTCATCAATGCAACCACAATGTGCCACAGCGAAGCGTGGCTGGTTACAGCTAGCATTATATAAACATTTACAATAAAGAGTAGGTATTTCTAAAAAAAAAGCCGTGTGGTGTCGTGGGACACCCGATAGGAACGAAGATGTGACGATCGAGTAAAACTGATTCGACACGATTTTAATTACAACGCCATCTATGAAAGCGGCTTTTACCTACATATTTTTCAGTTGGTTTTTAATTAAAACAATTTATACATTGGTAAAATCTCCTTGAGAAATAATTTCCTATCTATTCGATAGATGTCGCTGAATGACTGACAAGTGACAATTCAAAATAAATACTGAGTTGAAAAGTAATGTTTTCCTATCTATTCGATAGATGGCGCTGAATGACTGACATAAAAAGTGTCGTTACAACTTTTCGTGAGATTTTTTTCCGTCTAGGCCCCTTTCACAACGCGAGATAAGGAACTTCGTTCCAAAAGCTTTATGGTATCTTAATAGATACTATCCAGGCCGTTTTATAAATTCGACGGAGTCGCGTTAGTTTTGCGAAATGGTCGTGTTTCGTCTGAATTGGACCGACACTTTATTTGATGTTCACTCTCGATGATATACAAGCAAGCAAAATTGGTGAATTCAGTAAATCGAATGTTTATAACAAGTGTCATAGAAAAAATAAATCATCACATCATCATTATCAATAGCCTTTAATAGTCCTCTACTTGACATAGGCCTCACCTTAGAAAGGAGGTTTTGGCCTACTATACCACGCTGGCCAGACGGGTTGGTATAAGATTTGTCCTGCGTGTATCTTGCTCTCTTAGACGGCTCTTATGACAACCACGGGATGAACAGGGGTGGTAACACTCCGTATTCTTAATCCGTCACCACACGGATGAAAAAGTAAATGATTATTACTTTTTACCGTGAAATGTTAAACCAGTCAGAGCTATCACGAAAACTTTCATGCAAAATATTATGGATACCCCTTTCTCTTTTGCTCCTAGAATAAAATAGTTAATAAAATGATATCCTCCGTCGCAATAATTGTATGTATTGAAATTGAAAGGTTAACAAAATGTGTTTACTGACGCTAATGAGCGATAATTTGTAAAGATATAACATTGTACGAGTAGGTGTTTCTTTTTTAAATACCTACGTGTTATGTTTATTTATAAAATTCTGTATATCAGTGTTTTTTAAAGTCACGTAAGTGTTTAACTAAAACAAAGTGTTATCTATGCGTCATTTCTATATTATTTCTGTTCGTACAATGTGCACAATGAAATGTTTATGTTGTTCATGTCTATTGTGCTTTAATTGTTATAGTTTTATTTATACAGGGTGTGGCGTAAATAGTGGTCCATCATTAAGGATTCGATAAACCAGATAATTTAATATAACATATTACAATTTTATCCATTTTTACCCAAAGGTTCCGGAAATATATATTTTTTTTAATTTTTTTACGATATGTGTACCTCTTGTTACAAATTTGGTTGTAGTTTTAACAAATACCATTATTTTTTCATTTTGATTACTGGTAATTACTGCTGAATACTAGAGCTATCGTTAAATAACATGTTCTTAATGTAAATTTAAAGCTTTTGAAGAAAAAAATTGGTTTTACTCTACTTTTAACCCAAATTTTTAACATATCATACTAATTCAAGACCGATTTTTGTAAAAAAATCATACTAAGCTGTCAGTGCCCATTCATTTAAAAATATGCCTACTAAATACCAATTTCAAAATGGTATCACAATAGCAGATCCTTTTGTTTAACAAAAAGATATCCAATTTTAATTGAAGAAAAGAAGATTTTTATTAAAATACATTTTAAAATTTAGTTGCGTTAATACTTATGATTTTTGTAAAAAAAGTAACTACACTGTCAGTGCCAATCCATTTTAAAATATTCCTACTAAACACAGATTTTAAAACGATTTGCCATCCCATTAATAAAAAAATATATTGGAATTTTAATTGAAAAAGACTTAAAATAACAATTTTTTACTACTGTTACAGAGTGATCTTGACCTAACTTGTAAATTAGAACAAGGCATTAAAAAAAACAAGTCATACTAGTCATCGTTTATTATTATTCTTTGACATGATTACAAACACTGTAAAAATTAGACCAAATGCTCGAAATGGCCCCCATTCGCAGCTATACATGCTCTGCAACGTCGAATAAACGACCGTTTAAGTCGTCGAGCAAACTCAATAGAGGTGATTTGTTCCTTGTAGACATTTTCTTTCAGGTAACCCCAATAAAAAAAGTCCAGGGGATTTAGGTCCGGCGAGCGCGGTGGCCCCAATATTGGACCTAAGCGCCCTATTCACCGATTTGGATACGCTGTGTTAAGGTGCTCTCGTACTCTAACAGCATAGTGAGCGGGACAGCCATCGTTCTGTAGCCACATGTCTTCTTGGACTTCAGGAGCGACATTTTGCAGAAGCAAAGGCAAGTCAATTCGCAAAAAAACTTAAATATCTATCTGCGTTTAAAGTTTCTGGCAGCTCGTGTGGACCGATTATCTGTCCGTTAATGATTCCAGTCCAAAGGTTTATTTTAAATTGATACTGTGAGCTGTCTTGTCTTATGAGATGCGGGTTTTCTAGCTGCCAGCTATGCAGATTGTGTAGATT